GGCTGCAGGATAATTCAGAGGACATAGTGTGGTTTGCGCATGTGCACTGGGGAGCTGATCGTGAAGCCGCATGGAGTCACAGCCAGCTTCACACAGTTAGCATGGCCCTGCCAGGCACCTGAAGACCAGCGAAGAACTGGACCAGGTGAGGACAGCACTGAATACTTGGAAAGGTAAGCCTCCTTTGATTAAAGGTTGGCAGCTACAGTATAGTAGCTGATGACTTAAATTTTTTTGTGGGGGGACTGAAGAACCTCTTTAAGTAAATGTAGTATATGAGAGTTTATATGTACCAATTGAAGAATTAGGGCAATTCAAGGTACTTTGGGTAATATTGGGTAATATTTTGTACATGGAGAGCAAGCTGCCGACTTGGCAGCTCCTCAATTATTAACAGTATTCAGATTTTTAATCAGACCATGTTCGGTTCTATATATGGAAACATGTTGCAGTTTTCACTATCCATTCCCTGGTAATGTAATACCGTATTTGCAAAGGATATTACCTGCAAGTGCTCCTCTATGTCCTTTCTGTCATAGGTGATCCCGCTGGGTGTTATACAAGGCTCTCTCATCAGCTCAAAGCTGATCTTCCCACACAGGTAATCCGGGATGTCCCGCTTCTGTGCAAGGACACAAGTACAAGTTATTTCGTAAATGACACAGCAGCACAATCCCTGGCTGAATACACAGACAAAGCTTCAGGGTTCATACAAAGAATACATAGAGTGCTAATCCATGTACAACCACCCTGCGTGGCTCTTATCTTTCGATGTCTTTATGATTTGCAGCAAAGAGAATTTACAAACTAGAAACATTTCTGGTGTGAAAGCAGAACTCCAGTTTGTATTTTAAAGCAGTACAAGTTACAGCTGCAGGTCGGTCCACCCTTACCTACGCCGGCTGCACGTCCAACTCATTGCTGGGAATGTGTGTCCAATGTTAGGGAGGACTGCACTCTAGCTATAAGATGAACTTCTTTATTATTAGTCGCCAGGGGCGGACTGACAACTCATGGGGCCCCCGGGCAATAGGGGATCATGGGGCCCCTGTGTCCTTGCCCAAACTCAAAAAAGCCTATGAAAAAGGTACCAGGGGCATCTCATGGGGCCCCCTACTGACCCCGGGCCCTCGGGCACTGTCCAAGTTTACAAATGGTCAGTCCGCCCCTGTTAGTTGCTGATAAAGCAGGTACAACAGCAAGAAAGAGAACCCTTACATGTTTCACTCTAATCAGCGTTTAATCGATGACTCTATAATTAGGTGTTGGTTAGCATGAAACATGTAAGTGGTCTCATCTTCCTCGTTGTACCAGCTTTAGATATATTAATAAAGACATTCAACTGTTAGCTGGAGTCTGGTTTTAGTAGTCTTTGCTGAAGAGAAGAACTTATTATTTCCTGTGCATTACAGCTCCTTGTTCTTGCATGTAGAGCACTGTTGTGTACATCTCCAGCAATAGCTTCACTCCTTCAGGTGGTTGTTGGCCGGCCTATCAGGTTTACAGGAGGCAAGCACAGACCTGACAAGCAGACAAAATGGAGTGCTCATGGCAGGCTGAGCGCTTTGCTGCTAATTGCTAGGAAGAGGAAGTCGTTTGGACTTGTCAGCCTACAAGTGAAAGTGCTATTACTAGCAGGATCTCCAGGTAAGGATCTTTTAAATAGATTCACAAAAAAAATAAATAATCGCTGTCTTAAACCCGAGTCAGGACAGAAACACTTCCCAGGGTTATAGCTGGTGGCAGTAATCGTATGAAAAAAAGAACTGACAGGCTGGTTGTACTGAAGTCACTCGATAGATCGACTTTAGTACAACCAGCCTGCCAATAGTTAGATAGAAATTCGTCTGGTTCTGCTGAAGCGGCTGAATTTTGATCTGTCTATGGCCAGCTTAACCTCTTCACGCCGGCTGCACACAAATGTGCATTTGGGCCTAGACGCCCAAAATGCACATTTGTGTGCAATTAAGAGAAACATATGTGCTGAGAGCATGCGCCCTGCGCGCTCCCAGCACACATGTCCGGTACTCACGGAAAGGTCCCGATCTTCTCTTTCGATAGGGACCTTTCCCGATCATGTGACCGCCGTGACGGCGAATCACGGCGGTCACATGACCCTAAAACCCCGCCGCGCCTCCCGGCTTCTGAAACCCTTAAAGGGCCGGGAGGCGCCGGTGCCAAGGGGTTGAAGGAGAATAGGGGAGGCTCACCTGCCATTTCAGTTATTTAAATAAAATGAAATGAACTATGTTCTGTATTAATATGCGGTCACTCACCTTGCGTTTTTCATCTACTTGAGAAAATAACTCATCCATCTCTGCCAAATACTTATCCTGTGCAATAAAAAAAAGAAACAGAAATTGTTTTAATTCTTTTTTTAATGAGGTGCTGACTTATTACACAGTGGATCAAACCAGTTGCACCTGTATCTGCCCGAGAGGAGCTTAAAAAGGAACTCCAGGTAATTCACAGAACATTTCTTACACGACAACCATGTCATTTTCAGGCACACCATGACAAATTTTAGCAAGGATATGCTTTCAAACACCTTTTTTTTTTTTTTATTTAAAATAACAAACATGCTATATTCACATGCTCTGTGCAGTGGTATTGTACAGAGTGGCCCCTGTGGGTGTAGCATCACAACTTTTTTTTTTTTTAATGGTTGAACTGGATGGACTTTTGTCTTTTTTCAGCCATACTAACTAACTTTCCCAGATTCCCCGACGGCAGTCCTGTCTCCTCCTCTTCTTTGTGTGCCCCAACAGCAAGTCGTTTGCTATGGGGACAAACACTAGATGACTGCTCCCGACCTGTGTGTCTACAGAGCCGTGCTCCATAGACACACACAGTGGAACTTAGCCCCACGCCCCCGCTTCCTCTTCACCACACTTGATTGACAGCAACAAGAGCCAGTGGATCCTGCTGCTGTTTGAGTCCCTGTGCGAAGAGGAAGCGAGAGGAGAAGAGATGCAGCCATGGACAGTGCTGATCTCTTCTCCCCTCTCTTCCCCTTCACACAGGGAACTTAAAAAATATATCTAGAACAAAAACCAAAGGAGCAGAGTATACAGTTGCAACCGGTGAAACAGGGTGGTCCTGTTCTATCTCCAGTCCCATTTCGGCTGAAGAACAGGACCACTCAGTTTCACCGGATGCAACTCTATACTCCGGTCCTTTGCTTTCTGTTCAAGTTAACATGTCCTTTTTTTCAACTATTGTTGAATGTTCAATAATGTACTCACATGTTTTTGTTGGCTACACAAGACAGCTGAGCCCGGCTCCTGTTCTCCTCCATGTTCTCTTCCTCGTGTTTCCGTTTTGTTTCTTCAAGTTCTCTAAAAATAAAAATCATTATCTTAAAGAAACTCACTATATGCTGAACAGCAGCTCCAAGCACAAAGGACAATTGTACCTTTGTATAGGTTTTTCTATAAGGCCTGGCCCCATCCCCCCAAGCACAGCCCACCTGACCAGAGATTTACCTCCTGTAACAGCAATCTTCACTGTCTCAGAGCTGCTCAGCCTTACATCAGAAAGCTTCCTTGAATGGTCTTCTTCATCCTACACATTCAGTGGGTATATAAAAGAATCACCCCTCCCCCTCCTTTAAAATAATCACATGACATGTTATATCTGTTATATCTTTCACTCGGATGTTGTAAGTTGCACTGAATAAATACAGCTCGATAAGACAAAAACAGTGTCTGTCTTCATTTCAGGCTGCAAAGCAACAAAATGTGATTATTTTAAAAGGGGGTGATTCTTTTCTATACCCACTGTATGCACCGCAGCCCCATTCGATCCTATGGGGAGAGCTGTATTGCTGCAGCACAGCTACAGTTGTTCTTTAAAGCAAATGTACTTTTCACAAAACGGTCTGCATTACAGGAGGCAAAAGCTATATCTAGCCCTCCATTCACTTTCCACAGCAAAATACCAGGTACTGGCAAGTGGAGACATTCATCACACAGTCGGAGGGGGAGCCTGCACAGGCTGTGGAGAATGTGACTAAACTGAAGATTGTACAAAACCTTGCGCTCTGTTGCAGCCGATCACGGTTATGGGAGGTTATGATTTTTATATATATGTATATATATATATATACACACACACACACACACACACACACACATACATATATATGTACATACACACACACATACATATATATATACATATATATATATATATATATATATATATATATATATAGCGCTGAGCAAACCCTTTGGCGCTATATAAACTCGTAGTAATAATAATAATAATAATATATACATATACATATATATATATATATATATATATATATATACACACACACATACATACATATATATATATATATATATACACACACATACATACATACATACATATATATATATATACACATACACACACACACTGCATGTTGAAGTGCGTTTTTATATATTACAAAATATATGAAAAATATTTTTATATTCCTATATAAGGCAACCTATATGGAAGAAAAATATATTTGAAATATATTTAAAAAATATTCTTCCCAAATATATTGCCATATATTTGAAATACTACAATTTTGGCCACACATGCATTATATACACATATATACACACACACACACTGCATGATGAAATGCGTTTTTTATATATTACAAAATATATGAATAATATTTTTAAAAATATATATTTTTTAAATATATATTTTTCAGATTTTTTTTAACATATAAAAAAAAGTAATTTCAACATATATTTTTACATATATTTGCAAATGCATTCCAAAAATGAAGATTTTTATTTTTAAAGACAACAGTATATTTGAAAATGTATTTTTTAAACATATTTTTCATATATTTTGTAATAAAAAACACATTTCAACTTACAGTATATATATATATATATATATATATATATATATTGACAAAATTGTAGAATTTAAAACATATGTCAATATATTTGGGAAGAATATTTTTAAACTATATTTCAAACATACTTTTCTTCCATGTGGGCAGGCACTCACCTTTCCTTCTCAGCCAGGATGAGTTTGGTGAGATAGGCATGCAGCTCGTTCTCCTGGTTGATCCTCCGCTCCTCTATGCTGTTCCAGCGTTTCTTCTTGGCAATCCTTAGAGCGCTTGGTATGTCATCCCCAAAGTTCAGCCTTTGCTCCTTGGCCAGGTTGTAAGCTTAAAAGGTAAAGGAGATTTTTCACTGTTAGTTCATTTAATGCCTAATTATAAAGACAACTCTGTGAGAGGGGGCTGCCCGATCACCAGTCTCAGAGTGAGGCTGCAAATCCCTTTACAGAAGCTGCCCAATCTCCTTTCTAAGTATCTAAGGTCCTCGCACAGGCAGTTTTGTCTTCTGTCTGAGGCCAGTCATAGGTGGATTGAAGCTTGGCTGGTTCCATTGACTTCAGTGCAATCAGTCCATCAGATATTTGTTTTGGTGCACAACATGCTGGCGGTTATATGGATCATTGTATACTGTGGGTGGGGAAGGCTCCTTGCCAGCAGAATACAACAGCTCCATGGAAGGGATTCCCCCATCAACGCTGACTGTGTTGATGAGGGAATCAAGCGATTTTCTTTCCTTCAACCCCCTCAAAACCTAGTGTAGAAATAGATAAAACATGGAAATAATGGGCGTGGCCTCCGTTTGGCCTTCTTTTTCATGTCACTACTGCCAGCAATACCTAGTATCCCTTGACACCCTTGCAACCATAGGCTGTAGTTTGCCACTAAAAGGTGCTATACATTTAAAGAGTAAATGGTCAGCTACACCTATTAAAATATGGTACCGGGGCATGCTGGGAATGCAGACAATTAAAAAGACCCTTCTTTCCTTTCCCCAGACACATGCCAAGACTTATAAATTGTAGAGGCTGACAGGTAAGCCAGTACAATGAATTTGCATATTCAGGACTAATGCCCCGTACACACGATAAGAAAATCGACCGAAACATTTTGCGCAACCACTGATCGAATGATTTTCTCTTCATTGATGAGCAGGATGTTTTAACCGATAACGATATTGTGAACGAAAAATCCAGTTGAACAACAGTGAAAAATATTGTCGTTTTGCATACGAACGATCGATTTTCTATGCGGTGGTATGACGGTCGTACGAAAAAAAATCTATAAAGCGCTATCACGCATGAGCGGAAACAGAAGATGACCCGGATGTTTATGTCCAAGGAATCTTCGTAAACACGAACGAAAAATCCAAATGTTAAAAGTAGATCGGCCCAATGAGATGATGAGACCAGAAATCTGCAGATTATATTTTATGTATCACTATTTATGTATATAGGTCATGTAATAAACGATATTCTACTCATTGCTGGTCATTGTTGTGTATATCGCTCATTCTGGCCGGAAGGGCGTTGAACCCTCGTTCTGGGTGGAAGGGCGTGGCCACAAGGTCACACGCACACCGCATCACTTCCACTTGTACGGAAGACGTCAACACTACATATTGCCCAACAAACGATTTTTTTAAGATTGGTTATTGTGGGCCACGATTTCGACCAACGAATGAACGCCTGTAGGTCGTCGGATGAACGATCGATCGATTTTCTAATCGTGTATTCCCACCTTAAGCTGGCATGCAGGTATCGCCGCACACTGTATTCCACGCCACTGTAAAGGAAATGAAAGACTTCAGCTCAGATCCCCGCCCAGCAGTCACACCCCCTTTGACAGGTTTCCCCCACATTGGGCAACTCGTTGAGACAATTAGACCTAATGTGAGTGAAACATGTCTGAAAGGCGGGACTGATCTGAGATGAAGCTGGTCTTTCGTTTACCATACAATGCAGTTGGACACAGTGTGCGGCAGTACCTGCATACCATAGTATATCTAGGACCAAGATGCACTCTACCTCTTCCACCATCTGAACACAGAGTGCTAAGATGGGAGACGGATACTGCAGGCTTGGAGCAGTGCCGATCTGTTGTGGTATGAAAACTAAAGCTGGTCATAGATGGATCAAAATCCAGCCGGTTCAACAGAGATCAAATGAACTTCCATCCATCTACGGCTGTTCCCATTACAGAGGAGCTGACCTAATGACTGACTGAATGACTACATTTGCTTGTAAATTTTTGTTTGATCGGCACACGCAGCCAGTTGGCAGCAATGCTGATATTGTGCGTGGGGGGGTGTGTGGCTGAGTGTGAATGGGTGGGTGAGTGTGAATGAGTGGGTGGTGGGGGTGAATGGGTGGGTGGGTGAGTGGGGGTGAATGGGTGGGGTGGGTGTGGGGGTGAATGGGTGGGTGAGTGGGGGTGAATGGGTGGGTGAGTATGCCAGTGGGTGGGAGTGAACAATGCCCCATCATTGGCGTCAGTAGTAGGAATAATGCCCTATCGGTGTCATCAGGAGGAATTTAGCCCCTTCATTGGTGGCAGTAGGAGGACATATGCCCAATTGTTGGTGTTAGTGAGAGGAATACTGCTCCAGCATAGGTGTCACTGGGAGTAACTGTGCCTCATTGGTTGGTGTCACTGAGGAATTGTGCCCTTCACTGGTATCAGTGGGAGGACATATGCCCAATTGTTGGTGTCAGAGGATGGAATAGTGTCCCAAGGGCCGGATAAAAGCAAAGGGCCACATCCAGCCCCCAGGCCGCAGTTTGGATACCACTGGTATAGGCTGTACAGGTACTGCTGATAACAAGTCGAATTCAGGTTATACCGATTGCTTTTAATATTTACATGTAATGTTGTATTCATGATTACCAAGCTGCATTAATGTGTGCGCCTTTTATATCCGTCTGGAATTCAGCTTTAATCTGAAGTTCTTTTCTGAAGCACAGAAACCGAACTATAGGCAATGGTCCTTCCAGCCATCCAGATGAATGCACTATGACAGCAGCAGATTCTAAGCGCCTATTCCAAAGGTTTCATTATTCCTTTCCGTCACAAAGTCCAGCAGAATGCTTCATACAAATGCTAAACCTCAATCAGAGCTGGAACTGCGGATAGAAAGAGTTAAGCGGCAAGCATTCCGCCGGGATCTGGCTATCAGGCAGGTATAAATGATTCATCAGAGACATGGAACAAGTGATTCCAGTGACACCGTCAGCCTGTTGTTGGTAACAAAATATAAACAGCTTGCCAGACAGACGCTGTGCTGCTACACAGGATTCCTGGAACATTCCTCCAACTGCAGCCATCATCAGGACTTATCACAGATTACTAAACCTACGAGAACTGCTGAGCAGACACAGGCCATACGGCCGAGTCTCAGCGTGTGTGGCCTTATCAGGCTGAATGATGAAAACGCAGAAAAGCTGAACACGTTCCTTTGCATGGCCAATGTCTTAAGTTTTATTCCCCTTAAAGCAGCAATGCCCCTTCAGGCACCAGTCACACCAGGGTTTTTTCAAATCGCATGCGGAAACGCCGCAATTCTGCCCGCAATTTGAAAACGTGCTGTAAAAGTGTGAAAACGTGAGTTCAGGTGCCATTTATCTCTATGGCACTTGAAAACACAGGGCGTTTTTGCCACATTGTTCCGTGCGTCAAACAAGCCGCGATCACGCAAACAAAATCGCAGGATGCGCAACACTCAAAAAAGGTCCCGGAATTTTAAGGGGTTCTGCGCATCCTTTGGTTTTGTTTGTGCGATCGAGGCGCGTTTGCCAAGCGTTTTCAGGTGCCACTGAAATGAATGGCACTTGAACATGCGATTGTGCGTTTTCACACTTTGACAGCGCGTTTTCAAATTGCGGGCAGATTCGTGGCGATTCTGCCCACAATTAGAAAAACCCCTAGTGTGAATGGTGCCTAAAGAGGTGCTCTTTAAAAGGAATAAAAAGCTGATTACTGGGAAGGTTCTTTATAGAAGTGCTGCAGAGATCTAATCCATCAGCCAAGACAATTCTGCCTGACCTATCCATGCATTTCCCTGCAGTAAAACATTGTGTGCAAACGAATGTCAGCAGGCCCTAAGGTATGACAGCTAAATAAACAGGAATATTAACAAAAGACCCCCTCACCGTGACTCGAATTATGTTCTTGGCAGCAGCAGAACATAAGAAATACTCACAGCTTTCCTCACTATTCCTGAAAGGATAAAAGCATTCTAAAATAAAATGCATCCTTCATGCCCCCTTCTCGTGACCTAACTTAAAGTGTTACTAAACCCCGGACCCTGCATTCACTATATCTGGTCTCCCCGGACCCTGCATCCACTATATCTGGTCTCCCCGGACCCTGCATTCACTATATCTGGTCTCCCCAGACCCCGCATTCTCTATATCCGCTCTCCCCGGACCCCGCATTCACTATATCCGGTCTCCCCGGACCCCGCATTCACTATATCCGGTCTCCCCGGACCCTGCATTCACTATATCCGCTCTCCCCGGACCCTGCATTCACTATATCTGGTCTCCCCGGGCCCTGCATTCTCTATATCTGGTCTCCCCGGACCCCGCATTCGCTATATCCGGTCTCCGCGGACCCCGCATTCGCTATATCCGGTCTCCCCGGACCCCGCATTCGCTATATCCGCTCTCCCCGGACCCCGCACTCACTATACCCGCTCTCCCCGGACCCCGCATTCGTTATACCCGGTCTCCCCGGACCCCGCATTCGCTATATCCGCTCTCCCCGGACCCCGCATTCCCTATACCCGCTCTCCCCGGACCCCGCATTCTCTATACCCGCTCTCCCCGGACCCCGCATTCGCTATACCCGGTCTCCCCGGACCCCGCACTCGCTATACCCGCTCTCCCCGGACCCCGCATTCACTATATTTGGTCTCCCCGGACCCAGCATTCACTATATCTGGTCTCCCTGGACCCTGCATTCACTATATCTGGTGTCCCCGGACCCGCATTCACTATATCTGGTGTCCCCGGACCCCGCATTCACTATATCTGGTCTCCTCGGACCCTGCATTCACTATATCTGCTCTCCCCAGACCCTGCATTCACTATATTTGGTCTCCCCGGACCCTGCATTCACTATATCTGGTCTCCCCGGACCCTGCATTCACTATATTTGGTCTCCCCGGACCCAGCATTCACTATATCTGGTCTCCCCGGACCCTGCATTCACTGTATCTGCTCTCCCCGGACCCTGCATTCACTATATCTGCTCTCCCCGGACCCTGCATTCACTATATCTGCTCTCCCCGGACCCTGCATTCACTATATCTGCTCTCCCCAGACCCTGCATTCACTATATCTGATCTCCCCGGACCCTGCATTCACTATATCCGCTCTCCCCGGTCCCTGCAGTCACTATATCCGGTCTCCCCGGACCCCGCATTCACTATATCCGGTCTCCCCCGGACCCTGCATTCACTATATCCGCTCTCCCCGGACCCTGCATTCACTATATCTGGTCTCCCCGGGCCCTGCATTCTCTATATCTGGTCTCCCCGGACCCCGCATTCGCTATATCCGGTCTCCGCGGACCCCGCATTCGCTATATCCGGTCTCCCCGGACCCCGCATTCGCTATATCCGCTCTCCCCGGACCCCGCACTCACTATACCCGCTCTCCCGGACCCCGCATTCGTTATACCCGGTCTCCCCGGACCCCGCATTCGCTATATCCGCTCTCCCCGGACCCCGCATTCCCTATACCCGCTCTCCCCGGACCCCGCATTCTCTATACCCGCTCTCCCCGGACCCCGCATTCGCTATACCCGGTCTCCCCGGACCCCGCACTCGCTATACCCGCTCTCCCCCCGGGACCCCGCATTCACTATATTTGGTCTCCCCGGACCCAGCATTCACTATATCTGGTCTCCCTGGACCCTGCATTCACTATATCTGGTGTCCCCGGACCCGCATTCACTATATCTGGTGTCCCCGGACCCCGCATTCACTATATCTGGTCTCCTCGGACCCTGCATTCACTATATCTGCTCTCCCCAGACCCTGCATTCACTATATTTGGTCTCCCCGGACCCTGCATTCACTATATCTGGTCTCCCCGGACCCTGCATTCACTATATTTGTCTCCCCGGACCCAGCATTCACTATATCTGGTCTCCCCGGACCCTGCATTCACTGTATCTGCTCTCCCGGACCCTGCATTCACTATATCTGCTCTCCCCGGACCCTGCATTCACTATATCTGCTCTCCCCGGAACCGTGCATTCACTATATCTGCTCTCCCCAGACCCTGCATTCACTATATCTGATCTCCCCGGACCCTGCATTCACTATATATCCGCTCTCCCCGGTCCCTGCAGTCACTATATCCGCTCTCCCCGGACCCAGCATTCACTATATCTGGTCTCCCCGGACCCTGCATTCACTATATCTGCTCTCCGGACCCTGCATTCACTATATCTGCTCTCCCCGGACCCTGCATTCACTATATCTGCTCTCCCCGGACCCTGCATTCACTATATCTGCTCTCCTCGGACCCTGCATTCACTATATCCGCTCTCCCCGGACCCTGCATTCACTATATCTGGTATTAATCAAAATCTGAGATCTGATGACAGGATATCTAAGTCATTTATGAGCATTTGACCCTTTTGCTGCCAGGTCCGTACGTCACGTAAAACTGACAAGAAACTCCTGCCTGTCAGGTGGAAGCAGTCGGCGGCTGCGCTGCCACCCAATTGTTTCCACACACACCCCCGGTAGCAACTCCCCCCTCCCGCGCACACCCCCATCGTGTGCTCTGGGCTCTGCTTGCCCATCTGCAGGCCCATGGCCGACATGGGTGGAGGGGAGGGAGAAGAATGGAACATTTCTGCTCTCCTTCTTGCTGTGACCGGGAAAGCGATAACGTCACATCCAGGTCCCCGCTGTCACTTGCGGTCAAAGCGATCTGCATTGCAAGACAGTCAGTGGAGCCCAGAGGAGACATCCAAGGCCTTTTAGATCCTGCATGTTACATTAAGGAGAACATTTCACCTTAAAAACATCCTCCCTCCAAAATTTTTGAGACCCTACCCCCACATATACACATGCATCAGAGGAACCTACATGTGAAAACGATTGCAACATGTATCTTAAATAATCACGGCGCACGCTGGAGTGAGAACAATAATTCTAGCACCAGGACTCCATAACACTGAACTGATGGCCTGTAGGGGCTTTTGAAGCATCGTCTATAGAAAATATACGGTACAGAAGTCTGTCGCCATTTCACGGGCACACACATGACATGTTGGGTATCTATTTACTCGTCTTTTGTAGTTTATCAGAAATTTGTGTCATGTATTGTGTTTGTTTGCCCTAAAATAACTTTAGTGCTTTCTACTGAAATTTTGTGTTTCTTGATCTTTGCGGGAAATATCACGTGACATACAAAATTGGAACTACTGCTATTTTATCCCCTAGGGAAGGGGTATCAAACTTGCGGCCCTCCAGCTGTTGCAAAACTACAAGTCCCATCATGCCTCTGCCTTTGGGAGTCATGCTCGCAACTGTCAATCTTGCAATACCTCATGGGACTTGTAGTTGGGCAACAGCTGGAGGGCGGCCAGTTTGACACCCGTGGCCTAGGGTGTCTTCTTTCTGAAAATATATAATGTTTGGGGATTTTGTGTAATCTTCAGACCTAAAATTATTTTTTTTAAAACGTGTGCAAAAAATGCAAAAACGGCTCTTGTAGCGAGAGATTTAACAGACAAGCGTACCTTTGGGAAGTAAAACTCCATGCTGCCCCCCGGGCCCTTTTGCTTCTCTGCAAAACTATAGTATGAAATGGCAGACCCCAGTCCAGGCTTAGTCCTCCGCCTGGCTGTGCTTGTACAAACTGAAAGCTGGCATTTCTGCTGTACTGGGCGGCATTCCCATTTATAAGAGCTTTGCAGATATGGAAGGGGAGACATATGGGGGGCTGTATGCTTCAAAAGCACATTTAGGCCCCATGTACACGGGAAACTTCTGAACGATGGAAACTGACTGCTGGAAAACGCAGATTAAAAAACGTGTTTTCTATAAATATGAATAATCACCAGAAGAGGAAAATGTTTAAGTTAATACACGGGGTGACAAACACAAATATAGTTGGGATGAATTATAAATGTTTGTCTAGATGGTATTGTACACCGAGTGTGGCACATAAACAGAGAGAAGAAGTATCACCTTTATGTTGGACAGGATGGGGGGCAATAGGGACAATGGCTCATATATGGTGGGAATGCCCAAATAGTCAGTTATATTGGCAGGAGATAATTTATTATATACAGGAGATATGGGGGACATCTATCCAGAAGGATCCATGGGGATGTCTTTTCTACAGAACAGAGTTGTCGGGTAAAACAATATAAGTTTATTATATCATCTGATTGGTGCAGCAAAGGGTTTAATTCCTAGGTTTTGGAAGGCCCAAGATCCACCGACGATGAGGGATTGGATAGACAAAGTATAATATGTTAGTAGGATGGAGGAACTTTGTTACATGGAGAAAGATGAAATGGAAAAGTTTAGAAAGATTTGGGGGTAAATGCTATGAGTTTAGAACTTCAGAAAAATACTTAAAAATCAAAGGTCCCCCGATAGTAGAACCAGAGAATTTAAATGGTTAAAGAGATCTATATATATATATGACTAGATTAATAGGAGGGGAAAGAGAGGATATGATGAGACTGGACAGGGGTGTGTTGGGTGGGTACGGGGATAAAGTTTATGTGTACGATGTAAAAAGATTTATGATGGTTTTGGAAGGTATTTTTTTTTTTCTTAAAAGAAAATTTAATAAAAAAATATGAGAAAGAAATGGAAAAAAAAAAACAAACAAAAAAAAAAAAATCTGTTTAGCCATATTTGCATACTGCGTTTATGCGTGTTTATGAGCGTTTTTTTTTTAAGATAACCGCAGGAGACCTTCCAAAATGCACAGAAAGCACTGAAAAACAGTAAAAAATTTAATATTTCAGACATTTTGAGAGAAATAGAGAGAGCAGAAGTAGGGAGAGCAGTATTTTTTGAGATGAGCTGTTTGAATTTTGCTTTTTTTTGTGGTGTTTGGATGTGTTCCGGCTCATTTCTGTGCAGAAATTATTGCAGCAGTGTCCAACATATTTTTTTTCATGCGAGTCCTCAAAGTATGGTGTACCGGGTCCATTTGAGTACCGGGAAAATACTTTGCATGCATTTTTTATGATGAAAAAAGGCTCTGGACAGCATCTGGAAATGGAAGAGTTTAAAAAAAAATTTCAAAACGCAAACGCCTATAAACGCGGTTAGCCACGTTTACAAGTGTTTGAAACGCTGATAAAATCTACTGCTGAACGCAAGTTTTCTGTGTTCAAAAAAAAACGACTGTAAACTCAACTGCCTGTAAACGACGATGTGTACGCGGACACATAGGAAAACATTAGGGAGAGTTCAGGGGCTGCTGAAAAAAACGCTCAACAGCTCATGAACGTGAGTTTTTCAGCTGCAGTGTACATGAACCCTTAGCCTTTAAAACTTTGTGAAATGTGTTACCATGGAAATGAAGCATAAATATAAAACATATCTGTATTCTTGCTTTGTTAATACGCTCTCATAAATCTGATGGAAAACTTGACACCCATGAACTATTCTTGCAGCATTGTATCCCCGGATGTTAGTCATACGTGCATGTCACATCTTGTGGACGCCTGGTATAAACGTACCTCTCTGCAGATTGGCGATGGCCTCGTCGTAGTTTTCCATTTCCATCTGGCACTGGCCCAGGAAGAAATGAGCTTTCACAGATTGGCAGTCCAGCTCCAGAGCATGCTTGCAGTCTGCCAGGGCCTTGTCCAGCTGCTGCATTTTCAGGTAGCAAAGAGCGCGGTTGGTGTAGTACACAGCGATGGAGGGGTTGCGGGTCTAGATAGGAAAAGGAGAGCCAATAAAGGTAACAGCAAATCAACACAACAAACCACCACTGCTGCTTCAGGCTAGCGAGTCTTCATTAGTGCCATGAATGGGAACCACTGCTTCTATGGAGTAGCCCCAGGTTCTTGTATATGATAAAATGGAAGCAGCAGCATACAGTGCATCCAGAAAGTATTCCCAGCACTTAACTTTTCCCACATTTTGTTATGTTACAGCCTTATTCCAAAATGGATTAAAACCATTTTTTTCCCTCAACATTCTACAAACAATACCCCATAATGACAACGTGAAAGAAGCTCCTTTTGAAATCTTTGCAATTTATTAAAAATAAAAAAAAATTAAAAAAAAACCCCATGTACATAAGTATTCACAGCCTTTGCCATGACACTCAGAATTGAGCTCTGGGCATCCTGTTCCCACTGATCAATATTATTATTATTATACAGTATTTATATAGCGCCAAAGGGTTTGCTCAGCGCTGTACAATAGCAGGGGGAACAGAACATGAGACAAGACAGTAACAATACAATACACGAGGGGTTCGAGGGCCCTGCTCTTTCGAGCTTACAATCTAGGAACAATCATCCTTGAGATGTTTCCACAACTTGATTGGAGTCCACCTGTGGAAATTCAGTTGATTGGACCTGATTAGGAAAGGCATAAACCTGTCTATAGAAGGTCCCATAGGTAAAGTGCATGTCTGAGCACAAACCAAGCCATGATGTCCAAGGAATTGTCCGTAAACCTCAAAGACAGGATTGTATGAAGGCACAGATCTGGGGAAGGGTACAGAAAAATGTCTGCAGCATTGAAGATCCCAATGAGCACAGTGGCCTCCATCATCCGTAAATGGAAGAAGTTTGGAGCCACCAGGGATCTTCCTAGAGCGGGCCGCCCAGCCAAAATGAATCGAGGGAGAAGGGCCTTAGCCAGGGAGGTAACCAAGCACCCGATGGTCACTCTGAAAGAGCTCCAGTGTTTGTCTGTGGAGAGAGGAGAACCTTCCAGAAAGAACAACCATCTCTACAGTACTTCACTAATTGGGTCTGTATGGTAGAGTGGCCAGACGGAAGCCACTCCTTAGTAAAAGGCAAATGGCAGCCCGCCATGAGTTTGTCAAAAGGCACCTGAGGGACTCTCAGAAAACTCTCTGGTCTGATGAAACAAAGATTGATTTCTTTGGCCTGAATGCCAAGCATCATGTCTGGAGGAAACCAGGCACCGCTCACCACCTGGCCAATACCATCCCTACAGTGAAGCATGGTGTTGGCAGCATCATGCTGTGGGGATATTTTTCAGCGGCAGGAACTGGGAGACAAGTCAGGATCGAAGGAAAGATGAATGCAGCAATGTACAGAGACATCCTTGCTGAAAGCCTGTTCCAGAGCGCTCTGGACCAAGCTAAGCACAGATAATACAGGAGTGGCTACAGGCCAACTCTGTGAATGTCCTGGAGTGGCCCAGCCAGAGCCCAGACTTGAACCCGATTGAACATCTCTGGAGAGATCTGAAAATGGCTGTGCATCGATGCTCCCCATCCAACCTGATGGCACTTGAGAGGTACTGCAAAGAAAAATGGGAGAAATCGCCCAAAAATAGGTGTGCCAAGCTTGTAGCATCATACTCAGAACGACTTGAGGCTGGAATTGGTGCTAAAGGGCCTTCAGTAAATGATTGAGCAAAGGTTGGGAATTCTTATGTACATGGGGGTTTTATTTTTAATAAATTGCAAAGATTTTAAAACAAATTTCTTTCACGTTGTCATTATGGGGTATTGTTTGTAGAATGTTGAGGAAAAAAATAATTTTAATCCATTTTGGAACAAGGCTGTAACATAACAAAAAAAGGGCAAAAGTTAAGCGCTGGGAATACGTTCTGGATGCACTGTACATGGAATATACCTCTACAGCACGTGTGCCAAACACAAGGTCTGAGGGCCAAATCCAGCCCGCCAGGCCATTGCATGTGGTCCTGCAGCTGCAGCAGCCCTCTTGTCTCCACCCTCACCTTGTCTCAGCAGTAGAGAGGAGGACAGAACATCTCCACCAGATCCTGTGCTTCTCTGTGCAGCCGTGGAGAAGCTTGTCTCTGCCACTCCTGCCCTATCTCAGCAATCGGCAGCAAAGAGGACAAAACTCCTCCTACAGATTCTGCACTTCTCTGTGCAACTGCACCACTCCCTCACCTCCACCTCCTGTGGTCTCTGCATTCAGAAAACTCTGGCAGCTGACTCCAGTCCTCCTCTGGCCCTCCTCCAGACCCTGCACTTTCTGCTTCCCAGCTCCTCACCCAGCAGCACAACGTAACGGGGGTGCACTGTGATGTAAAGAAGGGTGGGGGACTCTTGATTTCTGATGGTTGGAGGAACGCTTGGCACCTGATGTAAGTGGGGTTTGGGTGCTCTGGACATCTAGTCTTACAGATACAACAGGCCCTTTGAGAGCACCCATAATGCTGATCCGGCACACAATGAAATTGAGTGACACACCTGCTTTACAGCATTAGGCTGTGCCTGTGCAATAAATAAGGTGTTGTGGATGTACAGATGGCCAATAGGAAGACGTAAAAATGATTTTCCAGAGCTCTGGCTATTATCCTTCAGGAGTTATCCTTGAGGAGCAGTAAACCCCTTATGTTCATTTTAAATTGCACTCTAACACACCTTGAAGTAGAACTATAGACAAAACTTTCTATCAGACCCGTCAGAATCTTCCACATTCTGTGCCCCATGGCAGGGATTTCCCTTCACTTCCTGTCCCATAGCCAAAACAGGAAGTAAGAGGAATTCCCTGCAAATTATGGGAATTCCTTGGGCCCCTCCCAGGTCACCAGAACTAGTGTCCCCATTGAAAGATTTCCTCTCCATTACTTTTCTGGGGACAACTTTAATGCCCATGCACTGCACATACGCATCGTGTGTGCGTGTGTGTGTGTGTTTTCACTGCCCACTCCCAGCACAAAGACCAAACTGTCAATGGCAGCTCTCAGCCGGCAGTTTTGGCTCCCAGTCATGTGACCGCTGTTACAGCCAATCACATGGGTCACATGATCGCTGATCCTTTCTGCCCCCAAGATGTTCAGAACCTTTTAAAAGACTGCAGGGGCAGATAGGAAGGGGTTAACAATGCATCTGTGTTGCAGTTCACTAAAAAGCATGGCAACGTGCTACCCAGTGTTGTCGTGCACTGCATTAGGGAAAAAAAAAGGTGCACGTACATTTTTCTGTTCGCTCTTGTGCATTGCTAGACCATTCAATATGGTGGCATCACACCAGAGCAGACATGCTTTTGTGGGCCCTGGCAGGTCCTCCTGCAACCCGTGAATAGACAGGAAAAGGAAAAGATTAATGACCTCAACTATCACTTACTCTCTTCTCCTGTCAGCATGCATCCAGTAAGCACATAAGCACAACTGACTGACAACATGAAACCGCAAAGCTCCTAATTCACTTCCTGGTTATCTCGCCTGACTACTGCAACTCCCTCCTCATTGGATACCTTTACATAGGCTATCCTCCCTCCAGTCCATCATGAATGCTGCTGCCAGCCTCGTCCACCTTACCAACCGTTCAGTGTCTGCTACCCCTCTCTGCCAATCCCTCCACTGGCCTCCATTCAGTGTCCTCCACCCCTCTCCTCCAATCCCTCCACTGGCCCCCATTCAGTGTTCTCCATCCCTCTCTGCCAATCCCTCCTTTGACCTCCATTCAGTGTCCTCCATCCCTCTCCTCCAATCCCTCCACTGGCCCCCATTCAGTGTTCTCCATCCCTCTCTGCCAATCCCTCCACTGGCCCCTTTTAAGTGTCCTCCACCCTTCTCTGCCAATCCCTCCACTGGCCCCCATTCAGTGTCCTCCACCCCTCTCTGCCAATCCCTCCACTGGCCCCCATTCAGTGTCCTCCACCCCTCTCTGCCAATCCCTCCACTGGCTCCTGCTCTCCCAACGAATTCAATTCAAAATACAAAATATAATTTACAAAGCCATCCACAGCCCCCAGCTACATCACTAACCTAGTCGCAAAATACCAACCTAATTATTCTCTTCATTCCTCCCAAGACCTTCTGCTCTCTAGTGCCCTAGTTACCTCTTCCCATGCTCGCCTTCAGGACTTCTCTCAAGCTTCTCCCATCCATTGGAACTCTCAACCCCAATATGTATGACTATCTCCTACTCTGTCCAGCTTTGGGAAATCCCTGAAAACCCTTCTCTTCAGGAAAGCCTATCCTGCCTCCACCCAAAAACTGTACTTTTATTTTCTCCATCAGCCCATCCCCCACAATCCTTACCTTTTGTATCTCTTGACCCTCCCTCTTAGATTGTAAGCTCTAATGATCTGGGCCCTCTGATCCCTCCTGTATTGAATTATATTGTAAATGTACTGTCTGCCCTCATGTTTTAAAGCGCTGCAGAATCTGTTGGCGCTATATACGACTGATGTGAATGTACAATGTATATGTGAAGCGCTGCGTAAATTGACGGCGCTATATAAGTACCTGAAATAAATAAAAAAAATACAAATCCTGTATAATCATCATAACATACAGTATATAAATGGAAGGTTGTGTATACTCACAATGGCTTTGCTGTAACAGGAAACAGCTTCTTGATATTTGCGAGCAACAAACAGCCGGTTACCCTGCTCCTTCAGTTCCTGGGCGCTGACGCTTTTCTCTGGGCTTCCACCAATGCCGCCTTGACCCCCGCTGACACCCGACGGGCGTCCTCCACCGCTGCCACTCTCCTCCTTCCCTTTCATTGCGGGGCCTCCGGGGGTCACCCCTCCAAACCTCGGGATGCTTGGTGTCACCCCCAATTTCACAGCTCACAAGGGACCCCTGCGGGTGAAAGTGACTTGTTTACATCATTTTCATAATTTGATTCTTTTACCATTAAAGAATGTATGTATGTGCATACGTGTATAAGTATGTATGTGGGTGTGCGTGTATGTGTATATATATACACACACACTGTATATGTGTGGGTGTATGTAGTATGTATATATACACACACTGTACATGTGTGGGTGTATGTAGTATGTATATATATATATACACACACACTGTATATGTGTGGGTGTATGTAGTATGTATATATATATATATATATATATACACACACACACTGTATATGTGTGGGTGTATGTAGTATGTATATATATATATACACACACACACACACACACTGTATATGTGTGGGTGTGTGTGCATATATATATATATATA